TTGCTAATTGTGACAAAATAGGAAAACATTTGCAAATGAATGTGCTTTAAAAAAATACGTGCTTTAAAAACCACTGCCACAAAATTGTAGAAAATTGGTTTATCAGCCAAAACGGGTTTTGTAAATAATCATTTTATTGCTGATTATAATTATAAATTTGAAGTGTATGTGTAGCCAAATGGAAAAAAATAATTTCAATAGAGTGGAAAAGTTTCAAAATCTGTGACCTAGTTTCTCTTAATTTCCTGACCCCGAGACACAACAGGAAGTGATAGGGAATCTTTACAAATTAGGTGAATTTCCCATTTAGACAGAAACTGAAACAAGAGACCCATTGGAAGATTTCCCCTTACTTTTTGTTCTGGTGACACCTGTAACATGCTGTATTTCCCATCACTTTATACCTTGATAACAATGGTCAACAGGACCAATAGAAAGGGTGACTCTCCCCAGCCCGATAAGGAGCTTAACCCTTCCCTACTCTACTCTATATTTAACACACTCATAAAATGCCTATACATACAGTACAATTAAAGCTGGCTATGCACTGGTCTATTGTTTTTGTTCAACCCATGGGCTGAACAATAAAAATAGAACAGATTCCTTCATCAACACTTACAAGCATTGATGGAGGAATCCCCCCGTTCATTCAAAGGTTTTTCCAACCAGCTCCTTTGATCTTCTGATCAAGGGGTGTCGGCCAGAAGGGTGTCAACAGCGGCACCCACTGTGTGAATTTCGGCTGCTTCATGAAGAACCCGCTGAAATTCTAATGGCGTATGGCCAGCTTAAGTTGCAAATGAAGCCATTGTCAATCCTTTGCCCAGTGGTCCTGCCACTGATCTCTGTGTCACCACTGTGTCCTGTAATGATGCGGCATTCAGTGGGAAGAACCACTCAGCACTGTGAGAAACAAAGGAGATCGACACTCCAGGAGGTGTTGGTTTCTACACAGATGTCAGGGGACAGGTTATCTTTTTGGTAAAGGTGTGTAATTCCTTGCCTCTTTACAGGTAAGCTCTTTATCTCAATGTTTATTAAAGTGACAGCGCCACTTTAAATAAGAAAGAGAATCCCGTCTCAGTGTATAGATCGATGAATCCCCTGACCCTCAACTCATACATAATGGAAGGCTGTGGGAAATTACCGTAATCTAACCCTAACCCTTTATTCTTTCCTTTAAACTCAGATGCAATTGCTGATTCTGCCATACCACATTCATGATATAAAAACAAACAAAACACACCTCAATCATGTAACATGCTGTAAAATGCATCATATGAGGACTTTATAATATTCTTTGACATCCCCCCTTGTACTACAAGCTCAATAACCTAAAAATAAGCACAATGGCAACTTTGACAGTTGGCATGCATTAAAAGTAACTGTTTTGGGAGACATTAAATTGGTGTGTAGAGTTCTTCTTGAAGGTTCATTTGGGTATAAAGAATGTTTACTATTTGTATGAGACCTCCGGAAGCCTGACCTCTACAGCTCTTGATGCCCCACAAACCCCAACAGGCCTTGGCTGACAAAAGTCAAACTCATGTCTCATTTTACAGCATGTACATAGAAGAGATTCCGCTTACTGATTCTCATGCATCCAAGAAGTACAGATGACAAAACATATACAAACACATATTAAAAAATGACAAATTAAGTGCAAAACACAGTGCATTACTGAAGCAGAGGTAACTCTGCCGGAGCATTATCATGTCAGGTGTGTCCAAAGAAAAGCACCCCTTTCTGTTGTGGGGTGCAAAGTAGGCCCGCCATGGCCAGACACTGGAGGCAGCCATTGTTTTCAAGGAGAACCATTGTATATCAATGCTTGGACACTGGTCTGCCAAACAGTAAAAACAAAAGGAGGTGTCCTTTGCAGTTTGCAAAGTGGAATCTGGTGGCTGTGGGCAACACAGGCGTACTCAAAATGGGATTTTTCTTTTTTGGCTTAAAGGAGAACTATGAGGTGAGTGAAAATCATTCAACTTCAATGAAACTGTCACAGGTCGGGTCAATAGATCGGGAAGTGAGCGAACACATAACGTCGCTCGCTCACTTTTTGATTATCTCCCTGCAGAGAGCTGTGACTGTCAGTCACGGCTCACTGCAGGGATTCCCCCCTCCCCTTCTCCAATCCTCCAGCGCTGATTAGAGGAATGGACGCGGGAGGGGGCGGGTACAGCTGGCTCTGCCTCTAGATAGGCAGAGCCCGCTGTCACTCACGCAGCTAGGTGGATCTCGACAGCATTGTCCGGATCCGCCCTGGCTGCGGCGTTCTCAGTATACCGTTTGCTGTAGCTTGCGATATACTGAGCTTTGGGTCACGGGAGGACGCTAGTATATATCCTCCCGTGACCCTTAAGAGAACTATGGGGAAAAACACTTACCCCATAGTTATCCTTTAAATTGGGAAGTGTTCAACCTTCATTGGGACCTTATAGCTTTCTGGGTCCCAATAGGGAGATCACCCCCATATTTGTGATAAGATAAGCTTAGATTTTCAGCCTTGCTTCATGTGCTACCAGCCTGAATAAAATGCCTCTATATCTGCATTGGGGGCATGTTATTCGGTGTGTCCTGCACCCTCTAGTGAAATCTCCATAGAAACAAGCTGAGAATTCATAGACTGGTGGAACCAGACGGTTGGTTTAAAACTGGAGTCTCACTTCACGTTGCTCTTAAAAACTTTTCAAAAGTGTCTGATGTAAATGCACATGTATGTGACCTCAGGAAACCATAGTGGTCATCACAGACAGTCCATCTTTACCAGTAATGATATACAACAGGGAAGGCAGAATTCTGTTGACCATACACTGCTACCAGATCAAATAGAATGAGTCCACAGTACAGCAGAGTGAGGTGCAAAAATGGAAAGCCTTGTTTAGCCAACTTGGCGATGTTTTAGTTCTGAATAGATCTTTATCAATTTTGAATCAGGTCCAGACAGGACTAACATACTGCTTTGTTAGGTACATAAGGCTAAGTACACACGGGCATTTCCTAATCTTAGCATTCAAATGCTTATCTGAAGAACATCACATACTGAAGGCCTTAAAGCAAGCTTCAGCAGGCATTTGCTAAATGAAGAGCTCAGCCCAGTAGCCTCTCAAAAGTTGGGAAATGCCTATTAAAGCCATCAATTATTGGCTCAACATCAATTCCGGGCAACAGCTGAAAACAACCACTGAGCTACAAATGCTATCTAGCAAACATGGTGGCTATCAGAAAGTCCACTGAGTATACTTTACCCTGAGATTTCAGTATTCCCAGCAACTAATGGGGAGGGTACTTCCTGAAGCATGTGTCATTTTCTTACATTCGGACTTCCAAGGCAGGACTCAATCTGATTGGTAGCTGTAGGAAACTTCCTAATATTCTTTATAACACCAGTTTTTCTGTCAGACAGAGACAGAAAGGTGACTACAAAGAGTGAATTTAGGAATTCCTCTCCTGGATCACACATTGGGGTTCTCAGATCACCAAAAAAAGCGGGCTGGGAAGGAAAGGGTGTAGTAGAGGAATGTCTAGATAGAAACCGAAGGAGGTAGGCTGTGTTCCCTGTAAAGATCTAAGGTTTATACCCAGTTTTGATTGGAGTCCACCTTTAAAGCTGCTTCAGTACTCTCAAACGGAACAGAAGGGTTCTTTAAAAGCTTTTGTAAAGATGCCGTTTCCCTAAGAGCTCACCCAACAACCCACCAAGTAGGGTATACCCATCAACTGATGCACTGATGCTCCCTCGTGCTTCCCTGCTGCAGGAGTCCAACCCAGGTAAGCTCTAGTGTTAGAGCGTACCCAGGTGAATGATGTCAATGCCCCTCCCACGTGGCAGTGTTCAGGCCTGGTGATTAGCTGCACATGGGGGAAGTCACATGCTCTCCCATACCCGTAAACATTACAACAATGGAGCTAGTGCTGCAACATAATGGTAGACGATAATAGCGATGAAGTAATGTGGATCGGCGTGGTGTTGGATGGGCAAAGAGCAGTGTCTCTTTGAAATGCTTTGCTAGTACTGACAGAATGGTATGGCCTTCACACTAACATTTACAAGAAAACATTATTAAAAAGAAAATGCCCTGTCTACTTAGCCCACAATGCTGTGCTTTGCAACTTACTCTGCTATGCTGGAAACCATTTTTGACACCTCGGTGCTAAGTCTAGTAGGCTTACAGACTGCAGTTATTAATATTCTTATGGCTGACACCACAATGGCTGCCACCAGTGTACAGGTGACTTCGTCCATTTCAACTCAACTCAACTTTTCCATTGCAAAGAATGTAACAAGAACCTAAAAACAACAACAACAAAAAACATGGTGACATTCAATACAGCTGAAGTGAAACAGGTCTTTTTTGTATGACTCGTCTCCTCTCCAACCAATCAACACAGGAATTGGCACTGAAGTGTATATTGGATTTTAAAGCCTGGGCAACAAATGCTTCTTTTCTTCTCAGCATCTTTAGAAAAATACAAAAATATTAAAAAATATATATAAAAAGGGAAAACAAAAAGGAAATTAAAAAAAAATACTCGCCGGTAACACTAACTAGTAACGTAAACTAGCTTGAACCAGTGTGTCCTCACGAATAAGTGTAACAATCCTGAGCCAATATTTGCCCTTTGTTCAGTGGCTGCAAGCAGTGACCCCCAGCCAACTAGGTTATACCAGTGGTGTTTACTATTCTTTCTATTTACCAGTACCTTGGACTAGTTTAACCAGCAATTTTCCTGGCTTACTGGTAAAGTTAAAACAGCTCACTGGAAACTTGTTTCAAAGTAAGAAGCTTGCTTCAGCTAACTGGCTAACTAAATACAAACAGCCGTTTCTAACAATAGCTAGCATGCAAAAAGATACGTAAAAGCAAGCAGCTACTAAGTCTACTTTCAGTGGTTGGTAACGATAACTAGTTCTACTAATAACTAATCTCTTACATGCTAGTAACTGGACAGACTACATTTGTTAAAGGTGTATTAACACAGCTAGCTAGGAGACTAAGTTTGATTGAACTGTGTGAGATGGACAGTAAAACGTGGTTAATTTTTTTGTGCTTAGTTACCTATATCTAATTTCACCTCTGAAACATGTATAAGAACAAGTCATTGTTACCAGTTCCGCTACAAAACAAAGAGTAGAGCAGTAGCTAGGTCCATAAAAAGGTTGGTAAACCATCAAGTCGCAGGGGTAAAAAATAAGCAATTCCGATCCATAGCAAAAAGTCTTAATGGAACCCAAAATTTTGTATAAAAGCTCAGCAGCTTCAACAGTAACCAGATCATCACTGGTAATACTGAGCCAAGAGGCTAAGCCACCATTCATTGGTAGACTGGTTCCGCTTCTTGGTCTTGGAAGTAACAGAGATCCACTTGTAAACTAGCAGATGTGAGCAGGTCGCCTTTGTTTCATCGGTAAACATGGAAGTTCCATGGGTAAAGTAACCCAGATCCACAGGTACTTGTTGCTCTGTATCCAGAATGCATTGCGTGTGGTCTTCAGCGCTTGCAAGACTCATCTGTAAGAGACAGAACAGAGAGGCATGGTGGTGAGGACATAGAAGGCTGCAGAGGCAGAGGTTGCACCTTTACAAACAAATCCGTAAAAGCAGATCCATATTTCTATCATTACAGATGCCCTTTAGAATGTATATATAGACAAAACTTGTTAGGGGACAGGTTATGACCCCCGTTATTTAATTTTGTCTGTCTATGTCCTTCTGGGGGAATGTCCTTTTACTTCCTGTCCATGAGACACAATAGGAAGTGAGAGGAAAGCTTTGGAAAGTGAGGGGAATTCTCCTCTAGCCTGGGCGCACACGGACAATCTTCTCCCACAGATAATTCTTAACGTTTGCTACACATAAGTTAAAATGGAGTGTAGCACAGTGCTCACAATTTGTATGACTGATTGCTATTGCATGCAACTGTTCGTGAAGCGATTGCTAGGGATTAACTGTGGGGTGATCATGAAAGTGATAATCACTATAGAAGAAATCGTCTGTCTGTGCCACGCTTTGGACAGTTGTCACCAGAACAGTTTCTATTGGAAGATTTCCCCTTACCTCTTGTTCTGGTGACAATGCTAAACGTTTGGATTTCCCATCACTTTGTATCCCAGTGTCAATGGTCACCAGGACTAAGCAATAAAAACTTCACAGAAGTTATATTCCTTGCTTATCCAAAACTATTATATATATATATATCTCATACACTTCAACCACTCCACTGAGTACTTGTTTCCTAATCTATAACAGTTACAGTGAGAAGTTTTAATTTGTGTCATGGATAATGTCTCTATTTACACAGAAACATGTTCAGCCCTACCTCACAAGTGAGAATACGGGGGATATTCTTGTACATATGTGTAGAGTATAATCGTTGTCACAAGGTGTGACAGCTCTGCTTGATAGAGCTTATCACAGGAAACAGGAAATGATATAAACACCTTATCACAGGAAACAGGAAATGATATAAAAAGCCCAGATACGGTATATTTTTACATATTCGCAGTTTAAGAAGGCGGACTGGGCATACTGTATATTAGTAATGTAGACTGTTAGACAGTCAGTATTTGAGAATGGATGTGCCATGCATTTTGTAACCACCTACGTGCATAAAAAGCAGCAATTGTGTGCCCTAAACAATTGTGCAGATTGTAGGAGTATCAGACAAGGTGGTAAATAGATATAAGTTGACGGGCAGAAGATCATACCACTGACCCTCCATTAAGTGATGATAAGAAATACGCATGCTTTTAATAGCTGAACATGCCGTGATATTTTCTAATGGAGGAAGTATAGTAAATGGCTGGGAAGTTCAATCTCAGACTGCTAATTCTTCCACAAAATCGCTTAGAAAATGAATCACCCTAAATACTTCTTCCTCATAATTTTAATTCTTCCTCATAATTATAACTCTTCCTCAAAAATGTATTCTTCCTCATGAAAGTGACCATGATCGTATGCCTGTGGGCACTGTGTGACCTCTGCAGGCATGATCATGTATATCCCATATAATCCTTTTAACTATACTGTTATCCAGTCTTTATTTATATGTACCCTCCTACCTTAAGGTGGCCATACACTGTGCAAATTTCGAGCGGTTCTTGAGGAACTGGTGAAAATTTGTGGGCGCTGTCGTCACCCTTTTGGTCGGCATCCCTCGATCAGCTGATCGAAGGAGCCGGTCAGAAAAATCTTCGTACGAACAGTGGCTGGGTTGGAAAACCTTTGTACGAACACTTGTTTTGGTATTCTGACAGCGGCAACTGTCAGGATACAAAATAAGCAGCGGGGATTCCTCGATCAACTAGCTTGTATCCTACAGATTTGTAGTTAGATAACTAGTAAACAATGTGTGGTTAAAAGAGGATTTACTCACCCACTATGAGAGCTTTCCTCCTTAAGATGCGACCCAACAGGACACTCTCCTCCTCTTCATCCTCCTCCTGCTGAGCGAGTGGAGGGATGGGGACCTCGGGCTCATCACAGGGACCATACTCTGCCTGCAGAGAGCTCTCAGACGGATACTCAAAGGTGCGTTCAAGCTCGGCCTCGGGAAAGGAGATGTTCATCTAGAAGAGAATAAGAGTAAATTGTATGGTTTAGGATACCTATTAATCCGTATATTTGCTGTCTTGTCACGTTATACACGTGAGACAAATTTTAATAGGCAATATTTAGATATTCATAGAGCTCTGGCATTAGCAACTATAGAAGGATGTGGTTTGAACGATGCTGGGTGTCATTTACATGGAAGAAGCCCGACCCTAGATTGTAGACAGTGGATGTGGGTATTGCACTGAGCGCTACATTTTTTATATTTACTGGTGTAGCGCTACTTATTTCTTTTGGCAAAAAAAGTCTATATATTAAATTGTAATATACTGTACAACACATTTCATATGTATAAGAGGTAGAGCAATCTGCAGGCTCTTTCCAAAACCATTGTACTACAAATAGAAAGTTGAATAAGTAGAAGGCAAAGACACACACCTCCCTGTCTCCTAGCAGAGCCGGTACTGTGGTCATTAGTCAGTTTGCACAGGCTGCCAACCGGTGCGCAGGCAGTGCCAGGGTTTCTTTTCAGAAAGACCAGCATGTTTTTTGTTTACTGAACGAATACATAAAGAGAGCAAATCAAAACAAAACAGAGAGCATTGGTTTATACTTGCAAAATTGACCGTACAGGCCGCATTGCCGCTGCTTTCTTACTATAACCCCTAGGGAAGGAGCCTTGTGTCCAGTAAGATGCTGTGTTGCTTTTTTGGACAATAAAGTTGTATTTAAAAAAACTGAACATCAATAGTGCGGCGTGTCCTTGAGTTTGTATATCTCAGGAGTAGGTTAGGCCTTGAGCACCCGAAGCTGATTCTCGAACAAGCTGCTTAATCAGCTTGGGATCGGCGCTATTATCGTTTCTCGTAAACAAAAGAACAATAAAAATTAAAGGTTCTTTTTAAGTTTTGATAGATAGGACTTCATGTGTCAAATTGCAACAAGCCACTTCTATCAACCTTTTCCCATGAATTGCCTGATAACAGGGAACAATGGCTGACATTGAGTCGCCACCCTTTTATAAACAGAGCGGCTAATATCTGAGAGACACGCCAACCCCTTACTCACTTTTCTTGAAGTATTTGTCCAATGTAAATACAATAATATCATATACTGTACAGTATGTGTGCCTGTAGAAGGACTGCTAGCTATTTCTTAGTTTCTTCAGAGATATGACCGAAGTACAGCTCTCCACATTCCCTTCATCTCAGGGCCCTAACTACAAATCATGGGGCCCCATAGCAAAAATGTGATGCCCCCCCTCCCCGATGACCTCTCTGAGCTGTGACTAGCGATGCCAAGATCCCAAAGACTCCTATTTTACATCCGAAGTCGTCTTCACACTGTAGACTTTACAGGGGGATTAGGGTTGTCATCAACTACAACGACTCCTACTCCTGCAACCTAATGGGGCCCCCTTCCACCCCCAGGTCCTATAGGAGCCACCTGGGCTGCTATGACTATCGTTATGCACTGCTTCATCTGCCCCAACAGCTCTGCGGTCAGTCTTTTTGAAGCTAGACATTCCGCTGACAATATATAACACTAAGGCTGTGGGCACAGACACCCAAAACAAAGAAGATATGAACCTTGAATCTGCATATAAGTTGGCAATATACAGTATATACAGATTGGAATTCAGCCGTTCACTTCTGAATCGTTGGAAGTTCAATCTGTGGTTGGCCGTGCCAGCACCACACGGCTCCACAAAAGTCGATTGAAAAATGGGCTTTTGTCAAGTCGGCTGGAAAATTGTCGATGGAACAGTGACTACAGTCAACCAGCGCCTAAGGCTGTCAAAATACAATAGCCGACATTGAAAAGTTCCCCATCCACGTTCTTTAGCATTGGTGGGGGAACTGAGTGAAGAACCATGAGGTGTATGGCCAGCTATAGTCTGTAGATTGGCCAGATAATCTAATATTGGCGTCTGTGGAGGAACATGAATTGTTGCACGTGACATCTTATTGCGGTACGTTGTATGTCAAATAAATATGTTGCGCATATAGTTTATTAGAATGTGGAATGTGTAACTGTCTTGCACCATCATCCTCTTGGTGCATCACTGCACACCTCTTCTATTGTGCCAAACATTGACAACCTAATTTCCTGAACCATTATTTCTTTTGCCCAGATTGTGAGACTTTTTGTGCGAAAATGTTTTCTTACATTTGGCGCACTTTCTTTTCAAACCCTTCAAATTGAGCTATTAGTTGGCGCGTCCATAAAAGCAAGTTTGCACATGTCAAATATTTGGTGCACCAGCAATTATTTATCTAGCCCAATATGTCAAGTGCAGACTACAAAATGAAGGTGGCTTTAGATGCACCATCTGCATTGGTGCTGTCTTGTTACATGTCAAGATTGCACTGTATACCCAGTGGGGAAGCTAGATATTCTGTCACCCGGGACAAAGGCTCAGAGTTGCTACCCCCCCCCCCCCCCGCCCCCAGCGGTA